ACAGTCATACCTCCTTTTTTCAGGACCACCTGAACTGGGCTAACCCAAGCACTATCAAAGATAGGATAGATCATACCTGCATCAAGTAATTTCAATACTTCTTTCTTTACCACCTCTTTCATAGTTGGATTAAGACGTATTTGAGGTTGTGCAACAGGCTTGAAATCATTCTCCATATGAATCTTATGCATGAAATAAGAAGGATTGATTCCTTTGAGATCAGATAACGTCCACCCTATAACCTTCTCATTCTCTTTCAAAACTGAGATCAATCTTTCTTCTTTAGAATTTGTTAAGGCATTGCTGATCACCACTGGATTGCTACCTTTATCTGCAAGAAAAGCATATTTTAAGTGGGGAGGTAATACCTTTAATTCCAGCTTCTAACTCTCAGTTTCATGTTCTTGCTGCAATTTCTCATATTGTTGTTCTTTTGCAGTAACTTCTTTTGCTGAATCAAGAAGTTTTGCATAATTCTCAATTTCTTTTTCCTCCTCTTCGTCAAATTCCTCATTAATTCCTGTCAAAGCTTTTTCTAATGGGCTTACTTTAACTAGTTTCTTTCTTGCTACTTGAAAGATATCATCTACCACATCTATTCTAAGACAATGTTGATTATCTGTAGGATGCTTCATTGCTTCAAACACATTAAAATTAACTTCCTCATCTTCTACTCTGACTTTTAACTTTCCATCATCAACATCAATAATAACTTTTGCTGTCTTCATGAAAGGTCTTCCCAGTATAAGCGGAACTTCAGTGTCTTCCTCCATATCCATCACAACAAAATCAACAAGAAACATGAATTTATCAACTCTGACCAAAATGTCCTCCGCCACACCATAAGGAAATTTTAGAGATCTGTCAGCTAGCTGTAATGTCATTCTTGTAGGCTTTACTTCCAAATCTCCTATTCTTTTAAGCATAGACAAATGCATCAGATTTATACTAGCACCCAAATCGAGTAATGCCTTACCTACTTGTAATGTCCCAATTGTGACTGGAATAGTGAAACTACCAGGATCCTTGGACTTTTGAGGTAAAGATTTCTGAATTATAGCACTGCATCCTGCTTCTAGCTCCACTGTTTCTATAGTAAATCTCCTTTTCTTAGTTAACAACTCTTTCATGAATTTTGCATAAGTCGGCATCTGCTCCATAGCTTCCATCAGTGGAATATTAATCTGTAAATGCTTGAAAATATCCATGAATCTTGCAAACTGTCTTTCTTTATCTTTCTTGGAAGGATGACGAGGATATGGTAAATCCTTTAGTTGCGGAATTTGACTCTCATCTTTCTCCCTCTTTTTCTCACTCTTTTTATTTTTTTCTTCTTTTTCAGTATTTTTTTCTTTTTCTATACTCTCACTTTTTTTTTCTCTTTTTCTCTTTCACACTAATCTTCTTTTTCTTTTAGGATTTCCTTCTCTACATCCAGATTGTCACCAATACCTTCTCTTATAACCTTACTACTCCTTGTAGTTATTGACTTACACTGCTCCTTTGGATTGGTTTGTGTGTTAGCTGAAAACTATCCTCTTTGTTGCTGCTCAGATAATTGTTTAGCCAGTTGACCTATCTGGGTCTCTATATTTTTGAATGAAGCTTCAGTATTTTTCTGATTAACCATAATATTTCTGAATGAAGCTTCAATATTTTGCTGATTAGCCATAGTGCTTTGCATGAATTTTTCTACAATATCCTCCAATTTACTTATTCTGTCAGGCACTGAAGGATAATGTTGTTGCTGCTGTTGATATGGAGGTTGCTGATATGACTGTTGTTGAAATGTAGGTTGTCTAGTAGTTGAACTAACACCTTGTTTCCACCCAAAATTCTGATTCTGATTCCCTATCCATCCTTGGGCAATATTATTCTGATAATTGTTGGGATTAGGGAAATTACTTTGTCTTCCTTGACTACTACCTTAGACACCCATATAATTAGCTTCTTCTTGTTGAATGTTGCCTTGATAAGAGCATTGTTCATTTGCATGCTCACCTCCACACACGTCACAACTCATCTGTTGATTAGGAATAGATTGTACTGTGTGCATTTGTTGAGGTAATTTCTCTATTTTCTGGTTCAATGCTTCAATTTGTTGGGTCAAAATTTTATTCTGGGCTAAGAGAGCATCTATGGTGTTAAGTTCAAGGACTCCCTTCCTTGGAATTGGATGTCTATCATGTTGAGCCTGTTGCTCTGTAAAAGCTAGTGCATCAATAATTCTTGTGGCATGCTCAATTTCTACATCCAACATGGATCCTCCTGCTGCAGCCTCTAATAACATCTTTGCATCATTTCGCAACCTAGTATAGAAAATATTCAACTGAGCAACGTCATCAAATCCATGATTTGGGCATCTTCTCAACAATGATTTTAATTTCTCCCATGCTTCACAAAATTGTTCATCTGCTCCTTGTCTGAAAGAAGTGATGTCAGATTTTTCTTTAATGTAGAGGGATGGTGGGAAAAATATATTCAGAAACTTTTCTTCTACACTACTCCAATTAGTCAAACTCTGATTAGGATGTGCTTTCAGCCACTCCTTTGCCCTACCTGCCAAAGAAAAAGTAAATAATATCAAATATGCAGATTCAAAATTTGCTGCTCTAAATCCCATGGTACCAATCAACTCATAAAAAGTAGACAAATGAATATAAGGGTCTTCATGATCCAATCCAGTGAATTGATGAACACTAATTAAGCTTAAGAAGGATGGATTCATCTGCAATGTATGATCATCCGGAATGACAATGCTGGAAAAATACCTTGGACCTTGCTGCATAGCACAATTTCTAAGAGTTCTTCTAGGTGGATTTGAATTTGTGTTTTGATTTGGATTTATATTGGGATCTGGATTCAGATTCAGATTTGCTCCTTCTTCTGCCATATCTTCTATAATTGGGTCTTGTAAATTAAGTGTGGAAGAAGAATTAGCAGATTCTCTTGTGGCTTGTTCTTGAGTTTCCCTTCTTCTTCTACCCCGGTTCCTCCGAGCTGTTTTTTCAATCTCTGGATTAAATTCTAACTGCTCTGAAGATACCTGTCCTCTTAAACGCATAAATCAAAAGAGTAACTCAAGCAAAGATTAACACAAACCAAAAACTAAAACTGAAAAATAAAACAAAAATAGAAATAAAAAAATAAAAAATAAAAAATAAAATACTCAATAAGCTAAACAAAGAATTCTCAAAGAACACCGCTCCCCGGCAACAGCGCCAGAAATACTTGTTGATTTATTGGCAAGCGTACCAAAATTATCAATCACAGTATAGTATTTCGATTAAATAAAAGTCGATCCCACGAAGAATAGTTTCAATGAAAATTCCCAAATATGCTTACTAAGTATATTAAACAGATTGGGTTTTGCAAATAAGAGTTGAATTGAAATTAAATGACAAAGAACTGTAAATTATTGAGAAAATATCAATTAAAGGCACTTAGGATTGACTTCCTTCCTCATCCCTCTTTTGTAATGGCTATGTCAATTAAGAACGTCAATTAACCTAACAATGTTGATGCCACCTACTCAAATCATCCATGTTGATTCCTCACACATGAAATTCATAAGAAAACCTAATAAATGTTGATTCCTCACACAATTAAGAGATTTTCCAGCATTAGGTTTAGGGTGTTAAGCAATTGATACATTCATTCCATTCCTGGAAATTAACGTAACAAATATTCTTACCGTGATATAGGGTTCAAGATATATTTTCCAATCATACCCCAAACATCAAGAATAAATCATTCCAAAGCACAAAGGATAAGAATAACAACATCAAAACATAGATTAATATCTCAAAATATCACCATGATACAAAAGAGTTCAAAGGAAGTGCACCGAATCCTAAGAGAATGAAGTTAGCCACTCATGTTGGCCATTACAATGCTCCAATTGATGAAGAAGTGAAGAATTGATGAAGATTGGACAAAACCCTAACAGTAGTCATGTCTCCTTCTCTCCAAGACTATTTCTTTTCTCAAAACACATCTTCTCTTTAAATTGGAAAAATTTGGGCTTTTAGGCGTCGCGTCTTTCGCTCGAGCGAGAACTTTTGCTCAAGCGAAAGTAGCCTGTTTTCGCTCAAGCGACAAAACGCTCGCTTGAGCGAATAAACTCCAAAGAAGAAAAACTAACATTCGTTCAAGCGAATTTTCCTGCGCTTGAGTGACTGACTTCCAGAGAAGAATAACTGATATTCGCTTGAGCGAGTCTTGGCTCGCTTGAGCGAGTGAATTCCAGAGAAGAATAACTAACATTTGCTAAGTGAGAATCCATCCCGCTCGAGCGACTTTCATGCTGAAAATCTTCTTCCTTTTTCCAAATTTACTCCAATTCTGCTATCAATCATGCTCCTTACTCTTGTATCAAGGTATTCTTGAATTCATCCTATATTGGGAGAAAAATAGATTAGAATTAGCAATAGTTAAGTGGTTTCATAACAATTCAAGGTATAATTATATCAACTTTTTGCCACTTAAAATCCATCACTGATGAACCCAACACATTTGTCAATGCTGCTTTTGAGAAAGAACACGGAAGAGGCACCCTTGCAGGACAATCTTGCAGAAAGAATCGAACTTTCTCCAACAAAAAATGCATCCATTGTGGCCATAATGTACACACTATAGACATATGTTATGCCAAACATAGTTATCCTCTTAGTGATCCACGATATCTGAGACGACCGCGCTTCCACAATAAAGACAGTTCCATTAATGTTAATAGTGTTGCGCAGGAAGAGGACTCACACTCCTCAATGACCTTGAGTTCTCCCTCTAATCACTACTACAAATTTCAATTTCAACGACACCATTCTACATCGGTTATTTAGGAATCAATGTAGAAAGAAGCGCAATGACATGCTTGTAACTATAAACAAGTTTTCTATATGGTTATGTGATAATCGATGTTGAAATCAGTTAGATATAAAATCAATATTGAATCGTTATTTCTACATTGGTTACATATTGAACCGATGTAAAAAACTCTCTTAAACATATCGAAACCTTTTCTTTCTTCTTCTGCTGAACTCATCCTCACTTATCTTTCTCCTCCTCTTTAATCCTAACACCACTAGAACACGTTTGCCACCACCATAATTGTCGAAGCTTGTAACTTCTTTGTCCTCTTCATCACCCTTTATCGCGACGCGCCTGTGACCTCTTTGACGTCTAGGTATAATCATTCATATCTCTCTGCTGCATGAGGTTTCATCATTTGAAAGAATTTGAAAATGCCTCTAAAGATGTTTTTAATCTATTAAAAACTAAAGTAATCAATTAAATTGTTTTTAGAAAATTGTTTTAACAGATATTATATGAGCTTTATCAGTTACAATGTTCGTAAAACTTATATAACAGGTTTTTAACTGATAGGTTTTCAAAATAATCGATTAAAACCTTTTAAAACATTCACTGGAACTGTTTTAATCGATATACCCTCGAATTAATTGATTGTTTTTATTAAAGGAGTTTTGAAAACCTTCTGCCAGTGTTTTAACTGATATAGTTTCGAAATAATCGATTAAAATCACTTAAAATGTTCTGGGAAGTGTTTTGGAAGTATTTTAATCGATATAACTTCAAAATAATCAATTAAAACCACTCGAAGTACTTTTTAATCGTTGAAATCCTGCATATGATCGATCAGAATAATTTTAATTGATTAAACTGCGATTTAATTGATTAAAACAACTTAAGGAACTTTTTGCTAATTGTTTTAATCAATTAAAACTGGCTGTTATCAGTTAAAATCACTTAGAAAGTTTTATGAAAATATCTGGCAGAATTTTAATCGATTAAATTGAGAATTAATCGATTAAAACAACTTAAAGGATTTTTTACAAAGTGTTTTAATCGATTGAAACGTTGTCGTATCAGTTAAAACAAATATGAAAAATGATCAAGAACATTTTAACAAATTAAAAGAAGTTTTAACAGATTAATTCAAGACTTTTAACAGATTAAAAGATTGTTTTAACAAATTAATTAAACCAGTAGTTAGAACAAATCTTTATATAAACATGATTGCTTTAATCTTTTGATATATACTTTTGAGCAATCAATCAAACAATCATAAGAGCTACTTTCAAGAAAGGATCACGTAAGTTTTGTGGAGTTTTTCAAAGTTCTTTCTTGAGGCAATTTTTGCATTTCTTTTCTGAAGAAACTCATTTTGCAGAGCTGCATAATCCGGGTTTGATTGTTCTAGTTTCTTCTCTTTGTTTCTTTACATTTCCTTATTGTATTTTGGGTGTCTGGAATTGTTGGGCATTGGTTCTGTAGCTGGAATTTGGCTACAGGTTGGTTCAAGAACTGGAAGTTGGTTCTTGGTTAAGGTTTAGGTGCAAGGACTGGAATTTTGGTTCTTGTGGTAGATTGGGTGTGTGATTGAAATTTGTAATCTGTAAAACATTCAATCTAGTGGAACTCAGCTTGAATTTGGCTGAGAACTGGACGTAGCCCTAAGATTTGGTGAACCAGTATAAATATTGATTGTATTTCTCTAAACCTTACTCTCTTTAATTCTGCTGCTGCTTTTATTTTAATTGCTTGTTTTTCTTGATTCAAGAATTGGTCAGAACTCTTAATCTTTGAAATAGATAATCTGTAAATTGCGAAAATCTTTCAAAGATCAATTCACCCCCCCTCTTGATCTCAGTCTCTTTTTCTAACAATTGGTATCAAGAGCAAGGGTCTTGAAAAATACTCAAGACTTTCGGTCCAAATCTTTCATGGCTGAAAACAAATTACCTTTTTCTGAGGGAGCTTCTATAATAGACCTCCACTGTTTTGTGTTACAGATTATCCATTTTGGAAGATTAGGATGAAGATCTTTATTGAATCTATTGATAGAAATGTTTGGGATGTAATTGTTAATGGTCCATTAATTATAGAAAAAGAATGGTCTAGCTTAAATGATGAAGAGAAAAGAAAAGTTCAAAGTGATTGTACTGCTAAAAACATAATTACTTCTGCACTAAACATGGATGAGTTTTTCAGGGTTTCTCAATGCAAATCTGCCAAGGAAATGTGGGAAGTTCTTGAGGTTACTCATGAGGGAACGACTGATGTAAAGAGAGCTAGAAAGCATACTCTCATAAGAGAATATGAGTTGTTTAAAAAGCAAACCGGAGAAAGTATTGCAGATGTGCAAAAACGCTTCACTCACATCATCAATCATCTAATGGGCTTAGGTAAAACTTTTGATAAAGAGGAATTAAATATAAAAGTTTTGAAATGTCTTGACAGGTCATGGCAGCCTAAGGTCACAACAATATCAGAGTCAAAAGACTTATCCATCATGACAACAACCTCCTTATTTGGAAAACTCAGAGAACATGAGATGGAAATTAACAAATTCAATGAACAAGAAATCTATAAAAAGAAAGGTAGAAGCATAACGCTCAAAACTGAAGAAAAAGATCAAGAATCAGAAGAAGAAAGTGAGAATCTTGGACTGCTAGTAAAAAAGTTTAACAAGTTTCTCAAGAGAAAGATCTAAGATAAAGAAAAACACAAAAGGTATGAAAAGAAATTTGATTCTTTTAACTATAAGTGCTATGGTTGTGGTAAGCAGGGTCATGCAAGAATGGAGTGTCCAGAAAAGAATAAACACAATGACAAGAAAGAAGAAAAGATCAAAATAAGAGCATATATAGCATGGGATGACAATGATACCTCATTGTAGACCCCAAATCTTGCCCGACTTCAAAATAAGAACAGAAGACCTCCTATTCGAAGATGGACGAAGCCTAAGAAGCCACTAGGAGACACTATTAGGCCCCATATTAGGATAGGAAGGATTTTCTGTATAAAAATAAGGATTTTCGCCTTCAGGAGTCGAGACTGCCGTCTTGCCTTTCAGGACCGCCGTCTCGCCAGTGTTGCAAGTCGAGACCACCATCTCGTTTGGCGAGACGGCCATCTCGCCACTTGCCAATGGCGAGACCCCCCTCCCGTTTGGCGAGAAGGCCTTCTCGTCACTTGAAAAGTCGATATTGCCGTCTCGCCAAACGAGACGGCCGTCTCGCCACTTTTACAAGTCGAGACGACTGTCCTGAATGGCGAGACGACCGTCTCGACCTTGTTAGTCGAGACGGCCGTCTCGACCTGAAAGGCGCGAATCCCAATAAATAGTGAGCGCTCCCCCCCTCATTTCACACAGTTCTTCCACTTTCCCTTCTACAATTTCTTCAAATTCTCTTCCTAGAGTCCCTCTGAAGCATTTCTGGGGTTTCTGAGAGTCTTAGAGAGCTTTTTATAGCGTTTCGAGAGAGTTTTCGATGTTGTAAGAGCAAAGGGCTGCCAAAACGCACCCTACTTCAAAGAAAATTAATCAAAAGCTTGTGTCGGAGGTTTCTTCATTCTTGTAGACCCCAAATCTTGCGCGGCCTCATAATAAAGACCAGAAGACCTCCTTTTTGAAGATGGATGAAGCCTAAGAAGCCATTAGGAGAGACTATTAGGCCCCATATTAGAATAGGAGGGATTTTCTGCATGTAAATAAGGATTTTCACCTTTTAGGGTCGAGATCGCCGTCTCGTATTTGGGACCACTGTCTTGCCTTACGAAAGTGGCGAGACTGCCGTCTTGTTTGGCAAGACCACCGTCTCGTCACTTGCGAATGACGAGACCGCCGTCTCGTTTGGCAAGACGGTCGTCTCGCCATTCCTACAAGGCGAGACGGCCGTCTCGAATGGCGAGATGGCCGTCTTGACCTTGTTAGATGAGACGACTGTCTCGACCTGACAGGCACGAATCCCTATAAATAGTCGTGCCATTCCCCTCATTTCACACAGTTCTTCCATTCTCTCTCTTGTCACTTCATAAAATTCTCTTCCTAGAACCCCTCCGAAGCATTTTCGGAGTTTTCTGAGAGTCTTTAAGAGTTTTTAAAGCGTTTTTGAGAGTTTGCCGGTGCTGTAAAGAGCGAAGGGCTGCCAAAAAGCACCCTAATTTTCAAGAAGTTAATAGAAAGCTTGCCTCGGAGGTTTTTACACTTTCTCTCTCCTTTACTGCTTTATCTTTCAATTACGCAATATATATTAGGGCCATGTAATCGTAACTTTAAATTCCGCAAAGAAAGGGTAAAAGCGTATTTTCACCGGTTTACTTATTTAAAATAGATGGCCTATCATAGGGAACCCGAAAGGGGCATCGTAAGGGAACTAACACTTCCCTTACACGTAATTAACTCCCTTACCCAACTCTGGTTCTAATGACCAAAGTTGGTTTTTCGAAAACCAACGCCTTTTTACTCCTTTTCCGATGTTTCCGGTAAAAACATCGGTGGCAACTCCAGAAGAACCCTTCAAAATTAGTTCTTTGTTTAGCCCGGTTATCGGACAATCCAAGAGCACCTTTTCAAAAACCTCGTGCCTAGGTTCAGCCCGGTTATCGGACAACCTAAAGGCGTTGTAACCACACCAATAAAAATGCGAAAATTGGAAAGTCGGAACCATCGCGTCGCTCCGACCGCCTCGTTTTGATGGCGGTGACAGATGGCGACTCCACTGGGGAAGCCTAGAGAGTTGATCCCATTTAGTGATGGGCCAGCTTAAAGTAAATAAACCAAAAAAATTACGCTTTTACCTTACCTTGTATTATAACATGCTTTAATGCTTGAATTTAATAACTGTTGCTTGTTTATACTTACGCAATTGTTTGAAATACAAATTGTACACAAACCCTTGCACACTACAGTTACCTCTATACTCGGGGGCAAGTGAGAAATCCATAGGGAGTGGGTGGTAGGTATGGTTCGCTGTATTGATGGCCTTTTGCCCACCAGTGTGATCAGAAACCACCACTCAAGGTGATAACCTTCCTCTTTTGGCACAAAGACTGACTATGCCCTTAGTGCTAAGCATGGTCGGAAGGCTAGAGAGTGGGGACCCTATAATGGGGGCACCTTGGGGGCCTTAGCCTTGGTGAGGACAGTTAGAACCTACTTTCGCCAAAGCACTTTTCTGCAGGAAAACCCTACCTCGTGATTAAAACAACTTCTCGCTTGTTCATGGATGATCGAATTGTGTGTGCATCTGTTTGTTGCATTTGCCTGTTGCATAGCATAACCAAACAACAGAAAAATGACAAAAAACTATTTTTTGCAATAAACACCCTTATCTCGGACAGTCTTCCTTTTAGCTAGCCTGGTTTCAGGTTCTTTG